CTGGCGTTAGAATATTTTTGCGCTGACAGTTGCTTATACGTAGACAGGAGCTATTATAGCAACTTACAGTGCAATATCGGGGCGTTCGTGCATTCGAAGACCTCGGTGATTTTTCAGCATCCGTAATGTACGTAGGGAATCCCAGCAGAGTCGTGTCTGTGCCTGGGACGAAGCCTCCGATGATTTCCTCGGCTATGGGTGATCCTCGCTCGTTCGTGATGGTCTTGAAGCTCTCGTAATATATCGGCTCCTCAATCACACTCCACGTGGTCGCTTCGAGGTCGACGGTCGGGGGCCCGCAGGTCGCATCTGTACCAGCACTTTGTTGTTGGTCAGTGCTTCCCACAGTACCGTCCACTGTGGTGTCAGACTTGACAACATTCGCTTCCTCTTGCTGACGTAGTGAGGAGGGAACGGCTTGGGGCAGGTGCCGCAGATTTCTCTCGTGGCATTTGTCAACGGTACCTAATGGAGCATCTTCCCTTACAGCCGTGTTCTGGTCACGCGGGGTCGGCACAGTTGAAGCTTCATCTTTGGTTTCCTTGGCTGCATTCGATCTCTGTTCGATACTGCGACCAGTTTTCTTGGGGTGTTTCGAGCTTCTCGTCTTCTCACGGTGCTTCGATGGTTTGGCACTTCTTTTGTTGGTCTGGGCGCTTTTCTTCTCGCCGCTAGACGGATCCGACGTTCCAGGAACGTTGCTGGGCGGAACGTGGCACGCATCTTCGAACTGCGCGTGTTCTTCACCGCCTACTTGGTCCCAGCGTGCTTTCTCGTCGTTTCGTTGCCTCGTTACGTCTCTCTCGGGGTTTAAACTCGGGGAACAGGACACGTCATCGGTGGAAACTCCTAGTTTGTCTTGGCTTAATACACACTTCTGTCGGCATCGTTGGCCAGGCGCTGGACGGAGTCAGCCATCCATCTGGCGCTTTTGAAGCGGCACGTTGTGGTTGAGCTCTTCGGCCTGGTAGTAAGCTGGAGATGGTGTACTCTGATCCCGGGCAGAGCGGGCCGTTGGGCTGCGCCTGTAGGGCTGTAGATGAGACGCCACCATCGGCTCCTCTTCGCGCTCCTCTTTCTCGTTCTTTATGCTTCGCCTTTTTCTGCTTGCTCTTCTTTGACTTGGAAGACTTCGCTACTGCTGACGGAGAGTCCATGACAGTTCTTCTTCTTCTTCTTCGCGTAGATATGCGGGCGTGTTTCTGAACTAGCCACAGACGAGTAAACATACAGATAAACGGACGGTGTTCGTCTCAAGTGTAATTTTAATTCTCAGGAAGCCAGTAGAGCATACAGATTTGCGAAGACAGCATCAATGTCAAAAGCGATACACGTTACATTGCTGTCCAGGCAAAATGTTGGTTGAGCAGCAGGCCAATATCTCACCGATTAAGCCACCTGCTTAGAGGAAAACGTCACCGTGGTTTCTAGTCTGCCGATGGTGAATTGTGTTGCATTTTTACATGTGGCAATATGAAAAGAAGCTCACAACGCAGTGGTTTTATGGACTTCGTAGCTTTCTCTTGCCAACGCGATGTGGACTCACTTCCCATGCATGTATTCGCTTTACTGAGGGTCGAAGCTGCTTATGCAGGTTACATTCAAATGGGAAGTCCACCTCCATGGCATCGAACGAGTTCAGTCCCTAAATGCTTCTTCGTCGACCCTACGCCACCAGTTTCAGAAGAACGGTTACCAGTATCGGACCATCGGCAGTGCCTACGAAGTTCAGCATAGTACGAGCCCTTGCAGGAGATAGAAGCTAGCCAATGTAAGTGTCACAAGTAGCGGAGATGAAGTAGATGAAGCTGTATATGTAGACTCTCTGCGACACTGGATATAGCTGGAATGCTTCTTTCGTCGCCTGTTCCTCAAATAATGGCCTACCATCATCTCCAATCACGAATTTTAAAGAAAATTCACATCATAAATGCGTGCTCTCGGTTATATTCTTGTGAAACATAAAGCTTTATTGTTTATAACATCACGCCAATGCTCAGCAAGCTAAATATACCACAATTATTAATATGCGTAAAAAAGCTACATAAGAAAAAGCTCAGGCAAAGTAAAGCTACTATTAACTGCTTAGTTGGTAGCTCCTGGAATCACTGGTACTTACCCGCTCAGAGGGATCAGCCAAGCGTCAGGCGGATCATATAGTACGAGCTTTTTTTAAAGTGCTACAGAGATTAAAGTGACAAATAAAATGACAAGTCATTTCACCACAGGTTGTCTTTATTTGTTCCTTGTTCTCTTTGCGGTTAACTTGTGTCGATGCGTTTGCTTATTTATTCGCTATTTTTTTGCAGTTAACGTACAAGATTAGTCATCTCAGTGATTCATCCGGAAAAGGGTCGTTGGGGCTGATCGCAAAAAAAAAAAAAAAGATGCAGGTAGATGCGCACCAGGAAGGGGCTCTCGGAGGGGAAAAAACTACAACTAAAATAAATAATTAGCGCATCCGTGATTTCACAACTCGGAAGCAGCTTTCCTTGCGAAGTCGCATGCGCAAACAACAGGTCTATCGAAGCCACCGCAGCGTTCAGTTTCGCAAACCCACACGGATGCTCTGTGCCAAAGCATATAAGACTGGTAGAAAGAAAACAGGAAGAAAAAGATAGCAAACTAAGAAGTAATTTAAGTGGAGTCCCACTTTCAAAGGCATGAAAAGACCCTAGTTTAAACATGAGCACAGTCCGGCGATGCCTCAAGAAGGATGCCGAAGAAGAAAAAAAAATGAGAGAAAAAAATACGCTACAGAAGCAGTCTCTACGCACAATAGTGAGGTCCTAGTCTACAAATCAGGAATTGAGCCTTGTTTAAACACGAGACTACCCCGGTAGTAAGCAAACCTCCGAGTCAATATTTACCCAAGAGAAAGAGAAACGGCGACGAAGGCGCCAAACGCGACATTCCCCAGAAAGATTCCGGTCAGAGCTGTCCGTGCCCGATACTTGCATCATTCTTTTGCAATTTTCTTTAAAAAAGGGCTAAGTCACCATTTCATTCGAATTCACACATCCACCATCGTTTTGCTATGAACTTCGAGCACGAAACATTCGCGGAAGTTAAACAGAAAATGAAGGCTTAAAGAGCGGATTATTCTCGAAACACGGAGTTTCGCTGGATCTTGCATTTTCATTCTTCGTCGACAGTCTTTTCGTTTTGTTGAGACGCACAACTCACTTGTCGAAACGTTGTCTATGTAGCGACGCACCGTGTTTAGAAATATTCATTGGTAAGTGTTACTCAATATGCTCCACTTTTTAGTTCCATTGAACTTGTGTACTTTGTCTGGATATATCCTGAACATGTGTATGTATGCTAATTCTGAAATTACGTCTGCCATGTGGAGGGCCGTCAGGCACATTCAGTCTGTATGATGAAGCTTTTCCGCGTAAGGACCCCCAACAATTTTTTGGAAAACAAAAAAAAACGTCATGTTCGGTTTATTTCTATGATAGTAGGAGGTATCTGGCATTCACCTGATTTTACGCTCAAATCAAATAGCCTCTCGTGCCTTTAAGTGGACTTCGCCACACATTTTTGCTAGCGATAGTGCGCGCATTATCCAATGCCGAGATGTACAAACCAAGGTAGTCCTACTCTTTGCGCGAAAATTACAAATTGTCTCCAGTTTTCCCAGATTGTGATTATAATTTTAATATGTATATCAGTTGAAAGGAACGGGCTACAAATAAAAAACCCCATATATTGTCAATATATACGATAAAGTACTATTGAACCTTTAGCACATCAACTCTTTTTCATATTTTGTTTAATCAAACCTTTTTTATTGACATTTACTTGCCACAGTGGACAAAAATAAATAGGGAGAGCGCCAAGACATGTCCAAAAGAAAGCACAGATTTACGGCTCGATTGTGGCATGCGCCGCGGTTTAGCGCGCAACCTTCTTTGCGTGTCCGCCGCCCGTATATTCCCCTATTTTTAGTGGACAGGTGTTGCGTACAGTAGGGTGTGAGCCAATTTCTGTAGCACATACGTTTTTTTTTTTTTTCGCGAACGATGGAGATTTCTAACAGACACGCCCTATACGTACATAGCTCCCGTATAAACAAATAAAGAGCCACATTATTACTTTCCTCACGTAACAATCCACTATTACTTATAACAGTGATCACTAGACTATCTAGTGCTAGCTAATAATATAACACACACATGTAGCTCCATACGCGTTTCAGAATGAGCTGGCAGAATTTGACTGCATTCGACGCGGCAGAAAAGTTGTAATTTTTTGTTTTTTCCATAACGTCCTAACTTCAAAAGTACGACAATGTGGCGAATGAATAGTGACGATATGAACCTATGCAATACTGAAAGCTACACCTAAGGGTAGCATATTCCAATCTCAGATGTCATGTCGTTGTATACTATACTTAAATAGAGAGCGTCCCCAGCAAAAATTAACCAGCTGATGTTTATATTGGATAATCTTGGTCTGTTGATTCATCCGCATCAATTCCGTAATGATATTTTATTGTTCTTATTCTGGTAATTGTTTCCGACATCGAGATAGTCTCGAGAAATTGCGTCATGTTCACGTGTAAATTGGATTGCGCAGCATTCCCAGTACCGACTTGAAGAACACTGTCGTGTAACTAGTTCTTCGGTACTTACCCGTCCTATGTTTGCATTTACTACGAGGTTACAGAACAAACAGTGAGAAATTTCGAGACACGCGATATGGAGCTTGTGGCCGTGGCGTAAACGAACAGGCGCGGGAAACATCGGGTGCGCGGGAAACGACATTGTATTCCATATCACAGTGTCTATAGTGAAAGTTACGCATATCACATCGTGTCGCAGTGACTAACCGGGTTCATAGCCTTGCCCGCGCCACATTCAAACGCCTGCGCAAACTCCGGCATGTTGAGTAAGGGCACGTTGCAGCGAAGGCGAGGTGGCGAGTATCGGCCGGTGTTCTGCTTCTCCTCGCCGGCGCACCACTTGAAGCAGCTGCTCACGAAGAACAGCTGCTCATCGCTGAATTTGGAGAGTCCCGGTGGCACAGCTGCGCGCTCGCTGGGCGCTCGCCCGGTAGGCCTTGTAAGCCTTGATCATGCCTCCACTGTCGGCGAAGTTCTCGGACAGAGCGTGCTCCCCGAAGTTGGCGCCTCCGGACCAGGGTCTCTCGTTGTAGAGGCGCCGTAGGCACCTCAGCTTGCCCGCGAACCTCTCCTGGGAGGCGGGCGTCCACCAGTTGTGCCGGAGGCCGTCGCGCCCGTACAGTCCCAGGTCCGGGTCGAACGCGTGAGTCATCTCGTGGCCCACGACGTGGCCCAGGCTGCCGTAGTTGTAGGACGCCGGGTAGCCCGCCACGTAGAACGGCGGATACAGTATGGCTGCCGGGATCACCATCACGTGGTACACGGGCAAGTAGAACGCGTTGACGAGCGTCAACGGCACGCTGACTTCGTATGAGGACGACGGCGCCGAGGACTCGTTGACCCGCAAGAACCTCTTGGCGTGGCGCAGCTCCGCCGAGCGAAACGCGAGCGCCATGTCCAGGTACGAGCCGCTAAGTTCGGGTACGTACGGATAGAGGCATCGCAGAGAGTCTTCTTCGGAATCGCGCTCCAGGTTGCCCACGATGGCGCGCAGGGTGGCCAGCTTTTCGAGCGCTCCGCTCTTGGTTTCCTCGTCCATCCAGGTCAGCGAGGCCATGGACTTGTTGGCCACAGTGTGAATGTTGTCCAACACGCTTCTCGCGTGGCCCACGGAGTCCGCGGGAAGCCAGCGTTGGTTGAAGACGTGCGCGAAGGCGAACGGCATCGCCGTGTCGGCGTCCATGTAGCAGCGACCCATCATGTAGCCCAGCGTGTTCGCGTCGGCGCTGGGCCCGTCTGCGAACTGGGCGCGCGATAGCGGATACGAAGTGACGCTCGCGAGATGCCGCGTCACGTGCCAAGTGACGTAAGCGAGCAGATTATTGGTGTCCTCTAGGTTGCCGACAAGTACCCCAAGTAGTCGCAGTAGCCGCTTGTTCATGACGAAAATCTCGTCTTTGGGCCCCAGTTCCACGGGCAAGTGCTTGTTTAGGACCTACAAGTAAGGAAGATGCGCGCGTCCATTTTGAGGAACAGCTTCATTCGCCTATGCGAGAGGCCGCCAAAAAGAAATGTTTAACTAACGCACTTCAAAAATGCCAGCGCAGAAACCTCTTAGTCAGTTTAATATGATGATTTTTGTTGTTAGATTGCCGAATTTGTTGCAGGCCTCATCCGCTCATAGTGATATGCTTAGCCCTATGACACACGCCGCGCCTTACGACAAGTACCATCTGCAGAGCGGGTCAGAATTTTCCAGCCAGCGCTGCCTTAGGATTTCATGAGATAGCAGCCTGGAAAGTTACAGAAACCCTCAACTCCCCTCGGACGTTCCTTCGTACATCCCCAAGGGCACGAGATGTACTTTCTTTGAGCAAAGCGAAGATATAGAGGCGCTAAGCTACGGAAGCACACATTTGGATGCTTCCTACAAACGTTTAGCAAACATGCACATTAAGAACAAACACTTGGCAAAATGCGCGCATTTTCTGTCAAAGTGCAGCGAAGTTTGACAACTACTTCAAGTACTTATTGTTACGACCATTTATCATCGTCGTCGGCACCGTTATAATCATAATACTAATCATCACCAATAGCCTGACTATGCCCACCACGGGAACAAGGCCTCTCCCCTGTAGAAACGTCAGTCAGTCATAGAGACATTAGGGTATTCAGATATAGCTGAAACTTATACAAAAAATACTAGAATATATCAACAGCTGTTCTGCAGCCATCCCGGTTATAAATAAGGTCCTTAAAATATCCTTAAACAAAGGTCATTCTAGCTTGAGCTGCACTTACTAGAAGCCACTCAGATGTGGATAGGTAAGGCCCCGTGATGTAGTCCAGCTGCTCCATGACCACGTACACTAGGTCGGTGTCCGGTCGCGGATCCACCAGAGAGGGCACCATTGTCATGAGCACGTGGTTGTCCAGTTGGAGTACCTGCATGCGATATTCACGTGAGAAATATTGAAACAGGTATCTAAGACATGCTGGCCATTGGAAGAATACCTAACTAGAGCATTCCTCAAGTGTTACGAAATATCCCTCTGTGCTATGGCATTCATTATCGGGTCTGTCAAAGATCACATACGCAATAGTTTTTTTTGTATCCAAAGCAAGATACGTTTACGAAAATAAGCCCACGAGTGCGGATTGCTCGCACACAAGGTTCTGCAGCTGTCGCCTTTGTTTAGTCGATGATAGCTATCATCGACATTTCGTAACTTGAGGCAAAAGCGAGTTGTACTGAGCTCGAGTCGCAGAAAGGCTTGCAGAATGCCAATATAGAACGTTAAAAAATTACCGGCGTACGAAAATTATATTGCAACACATGTTTGGCTCCTCGTGTGGTGAGGTGGAAAATAGAACTTACTTGTGTTTAGAAGAGATGTTCCACGATTTAGAGTACGACGTACCTCACAACGGGAGAGCACTAGGATATCCCCGCACACGACGCAATGAAGATCACGGACTTGATAGCGCATGCTTACGCATTGTTTTACAGAATACAGTGAGTCATATACAAAAGTCAGCCTTATCCTTATCTCAGGTTTTTCCTTAACACTTTTGCGCCCTCAGCGATGCTCATCAAAAATGTGTAGTCAATATTCGCAAGTAAACGCCTACTTTCTTCACCTTTGCTTAATGTTTTTATGCACCCAACACACTTGGGAGGCACAAATCTGATGCAGAATGAGAACAATATTTGGGATTTTAAGTCCCAAAATGTTGCATCTGGTGTTTTTTTAAGTGTACTGACATCGCACAGTACACGGGCCTCTTACCATTACACCTCCATCTAGACGCCACCACCGAGGCTTGAACCGAACCCGCGACCATCAGGTCAGCAGTTGAGCACTGCAACCACTACACCACCATGGCGGACAACACCGATAAGGAAAACGACAGGTGATGGTGAGGTTAGGTTTGTGAATACGGCTCCACCTCTTTCTCTACGCCTGGGACTGTTGTACGACCAGGTCACAAGAGATCCACAGTCGCAGATCCACAAACAGTTATTTTCAATGGATCCTCTAAAGTTTCGGGTGAAGCTTTGTATACCACAATGCATTCAGGAGCCGCAGAAAACATGCGTAACTAACCATGGTTTTCTCCAATCAGAGTGACTCTTTGCGTCACAGAAGGCAATTAGCATTGCTTTTCAGCTGCAATAAAAAAAAGGCATTCAGACTGTTTTCACAAAGACAGAGCTTCACTTGACCATCCCCCTTGTCTTCGAGTGGCTGTAAACATTGGTTTTTCTGACATCTCCCCCCTTCTTGGTATTTTCTGCATGTTGACACAGACCCCGCTACTGGCTTGTTTATTTATTTCACCGTGTTTAAAATAAATGTTCAGCGATTAAGGACACTACTACGCTATGGAATATATGGATGCACCTGTAACCATGGGCGTGCATAGGGGGCACTTAATTGTCCCCCTCAAACCAAACGAGCCCCCCCCCCCCCCGGCCCATATACCAGTGCTCTTGCCTCCAGCCATGATGCATAATGCAATGCAGCGTTGAACCCCCCTCCCCCTGTACGACATATTACATTGTATGTTACGTATATACTATCTTTAGAAGTGTTTAAAAGCGAGCTCCTTCGTAAAAATCCATCTTGAAAAAAACAGCGATACTTTGGACACGGACAATAAAATGCACAAGGACAGACGGGTGTCCATCCTTGCACGTTCCCTTGTCCGTCTCTAATCTAGCGCTTTCTTTAGATGTATATACGACTCCTCGTGGCCGACTATTTTCAACTTGTTTTTTGTTTTTGTTTTTGTTTTTTCTACTACCTTATAAAACTCCTTGTTGGCTTCCGTTCACGGTGTAACGGTCATGACCTTTTTCCCGAGCTGCCAGATTTCTTAATAAAGGAAGCCAAGTACTGCTACATCTAGACACATTGTAATAATATACCGAGGACGAATAATTGTTCATTGTGCGATAAAAGAGAGCCTGCGTCCACACTTGCCTCTTCGACGACGCGCTTCGACGCGCTCGAGCCGTTCATAATGAGCGAAACGCGGTCGAAGTAGGCGAGGAGGACGCCCCTCTCCTGGAGCGCGTTGCGCGTCATGAACCACTCGAGCAAGTACGGGTTGCCGGAGAAGTGAAGAGTGCGGAAGCCTGGACGCTTGAAGTAGCGGTCCACGCTCAACTGGAAGAACACCGGTATGCCCCAGTCCAGGGACAAGGACACCATCACGTCCAGAGTTTCCAGCTTGGACCTGTACGCCACGAGAGAGGCGTTTTTCGTGAGTGCACGAGTGGTATCAAAGTTCTGCAGAACGTTGTTCTGTGCGTAATATTGCAAGTACAAATCCTGCTTCGCTCTTCGCGATGCATTAGGTCATAGAACCATGCATCAGACCTATCACAAAACATGACCTGCCACAGTGTGAAAAACACATTAATTTACAATGACGTCTTTCATCGATCGAATTACACCCCCCTTCCCCTCTTCACTCCACGCGATCGGCCCCGCTTTCACTAAGCAACGATGTCATCTGACAAAGTCACATGTGGGTGTCACACATCACATATATGAAACATCTGCGAGGTGATGATAGAGTCACATGGTGACACCTCAGTATGACGTCATTGGGGACGTGGGCAACGCGGATTTCAGTACCAGTTCATTAGTCTGCGATGTCTCGCTCAAGAGGCCCACACGAAAACAAGCTTAAGACATTCGTCCTGTAAATGGCGCTCCTTGAGTGCGATGAGTTTTCTTTGCTTCGTTTGGTAATTATATTATACTGGTTCCGAAGCTATCACGCCTACTCCGGTGACATATCTTACACTCGACGCAGCTGCGCGCAAACGTGAGTTGACGATTCTTGGCGCTGCATGTGAACGCGCGGCATAAAATCACGAGCACCGGCATGATCACACTTTTTGTTGTGACGACGCGTGTAGCTCCTGCTTGTCACGTAAACTAAAGTGCGAGACGAGCAACATTGCAGGTCTGTAGTATTACATCGGCGAGACACAGTACGCTACGCTGCCGAAGATGCGCATGACATCGTCGTTGCTCATTAACAGAAAAAATAAACTGTTCTATTTAGTTCCCCTAGAAAACTGAATCGAAGCATATCTCCAGAGGAAAGAATAAAAAAAAATAAATCCACGTAAAATGCTTTCAGCTGTCTACAAAAAAAAAACGATGCATAAGCAGGCTGGTTTAGCGTAAGAAATTGCGTTTCTTCGAAACTTCTGTTCCAGTGACATCGGGACGGTGTTTTTTTTTTTCGCAGTGTTTGTCAGTCTGAGACGTCCGAACGAAAGGCACAGTTCAAGACCTTCAAAACTCGCTGTTCGTCATTAAATTTTTTCGCGATGTCGGAACATTCTGCCACCCATTCTATATATATATATATATATATATATATATATATATATATTATATATATATATATATATATATATATATATATATATATATATATATTTCTGAAATACTTAGATATAACAAGTTGGGATGTGGTGAGGCATGAATATCTCTCCTTGATACGCAGCCAATGTACATACAGTACATCTGTACAATGTATTTCAGGTGGTCACCTCGAAGGCGGCGTCGGCCAGCTGAGGTTGAAGCGGTCGAGGAAGGCGTGCAGCTCGTCGATCCTGTGCTGCCCGTTGAAGGCCACCTGTCCGCAGCGTTGGAAAAGGCGCGCCACCTGGTGCGAGGGAAGTGCACCCTCACCATCATCCAGCACGAGGCTAATGATCGCCGCCGTGGCGACGCGCTGCTGCAGAGTCTGAATTTGAAAGAAAAAAGAATCGTTTAAGAGGCTAGCTTTAACTTCGAGTCACATAGTGGATTGATAGAGAAGGCAAGCCCGCGATGGAGAGGCAGAATGTTTGGTGGGTAGATGAGACTAAGAAGTTTGCGAGAATAACGTGACCGCACCAAGTGCAGGACCAGGTTAATTGGATGAACATGGGAGAATCCTTTAACTTGCAGTGGGCGCCAGGACACAGCCGGAATATTTTTGGGGGGTGTTCAGCCATATTTTGTGTAATTTCGTGCATGCGCTTCTATGTGCGTGTGTATATACGGAAAAAAATTTGAAACTTCTCGAGGGCTTTAACCCTTTTCCCTCCTCCTCCAGCGCCCTAGTGGGCGTAGTCAGGCTGATGAACTAGTACATTACTCTAGGGGTGTGTATAGGGTGCGGAAGACTCCTTTGCACGCTCAGTCAAGCTTCAATGGTGCAAGATAATGCCGTAAAAAGTCAAAATTTGGGATTTACGTAACTAAAACCGGGATACGGTTATGAGGCACACCATTCTGGGACACTCGCGATTAGCGGCTAAGTTTATTCTGACTACCGATGATTCAACGTGCACATGAAAGTGCAGGGACATTTTTTTTTTGCATGGATCCCTCGCAATTGGACTGCCATGTCCACGCGCACATGTTTAACAGTGGCACGCTATAACCCTAAATACATTCATAATCATCATCATCAGCCTCACTACGTCCACTGCAGGACAAAGGCCTCTCCCACGTTCCGCCAGTCAACTCAGTCCTGTGCTTGCTGCTGCCAAGTTATACCCGCAAACATCTGCTCACATAACTTTCTCTCTTTCCCTGACCCGCTTGCCTTCTCTGGGAATCCAGTCAGTTACCCTTAATGACCAACGGTTACCCTGCCTACGCGCTACGTGCCCGGCCCATGCCTATTTCTTCTTCGCGATTTCAACTATTATATCTTTAACTCCGACTTTTTGCCTGCCCCACTCTGCTCTCTTCTCGTTTCTTATGGTTACACCTGTCACTTTCCTATCCGTCACTCGCTGCGTCATCCTCAATTTAGGCTGTACCCTCTATGCAAGCCTCCAGATTTCTGCTCCGTAGATAAGCAGCGGCAAAATGCAGCTGTTATATACCTTCCTCTTCATGGCTAAAGGTAGGTATCATGATTTGAGAATGCTTGCCGAATGTGTTCCACCCCATTCTTATTCTTCTAGCTGCTTCAATCTCGTAGTTCGGCTCCGCGGTTACTACCTGTTTTAAGCAGAGATTTTTTTTTTTTACAACTTCAAGTGCGCTGCTACCGATCTCGAAGCGCTGTTCTCTTCCGCAGCTGTTGTATATTATTTCCGTTTCCAGCAGATAATTTTAAGAGCTACCTTTCTGCTCTCCTTGTCCGACTCGGTAATCATTAATTGCAATTCATCGTGCCTTGAGTTACTCAGTATACAGCGATGGCATAGTAGTTAGAGTATCAGCCTCACGCGCAAAAGGTACGTGGTTCGTATCCTGTCCAGCGATTCCCCACCGCACTTATAAAAAATTATCCGCGTGATGATGTAATTGCATCGAGAGGCCTAGAGTGCGGGCTCGCCGGTGACCACCGCTGGCACGCACTCCCTTAATTGCAAGAGAAGGATTGCCACCTTGGTGGAGCATCTGCCCACTACTTCCCCATGGATACGCCATTTAACCCAAATACATCACTGTGTGCTAGAGTATTCTAGTAAGCTCCGGAACTTTTACTGCTACATAGATTTGCCTACAGTTTCGCCTTTCTGCAAGCTGGTCAGCCTTGGTAAGAAATATCTCGCTATAATTTAGACAGTAGGCACGTATTGGGCAAGGGCGTTGAATAATGATGTCTTTTGAGATACAGTCTATAAAAATAAATCCAGCAGTAGTGTCAAAAAATGAAGTAAGAATTTTTCAAGCTGCAAAAACGATGATCAGACAAATTTGATGATAAGCCACACTGAATGATTTCAGCACCATATACAGTTACTGTTAGGTTGGGGTAAGTTAGGTGTATACCCAAATCTCACAAAATATGTTACACCATTCGTTCTCGCGCTGATATTATCACCAGATGTGTGTCAATATATTCCAGGAGATTGCGCCTATTGCATGGAAATCTGTATGCGTTTTCTGCGTCTAGTCTCCACTATTACATAGTCAGCCTGTCTCTCTTGCGTTACGCTTTCTCCACACCAGTGTACGAAGGCTGGCTGTTTCTAGGCTAGCTGCGCAAGTGCTAGAATCCTAATTTAGGTGGGTTGCAATCGATTGTACATAATGAAATGTCGTACAACGAACGTGAAATCATTTATTTGCTTTGTTATTATATTGCTTTAAAACTCTTCCGCTAATATACCTACACCACGACGCTGACAACCAAGTGACAGCGAACTTAAAAATGGTGGAAGTTAAGAATCAACCTTTCGTCATCCCGAAATTTACGCGGTATAGCCGTCTAAATTATGGCCCTGAGCCGTGGGCATCATTGGCTTCGTTGCGCTAAAAATGGCTACGTGGCAAGCGCAAAGAGGAAAAGGGTCTGATGAGAGGAGGTTATGGAAAGCGGGTAACCTGTGAAACGGGCAACGGTCACGTCTTTAAGCTTAGATAAGGCGGTCAATACATGTGGTGGATTGAGAAAGGAACTCTCGCCCCTGGAATGCAGAAGGTAGGCTATAGGAGTGGTCGGAAGAGGGCTTGCCAGAAAGAGAGGTTTCGGTTATAGGTCAGGTTAAGTTAGGTTGGGTTAGGTCTACAGTAACCTACGACGACCACAGCCGAAGATAGAACTGAAAACCTCACTTAGGAGAAATAACGAAGAAGCCAGATTTCACTAGAACTAACTGAGCAAAACGAAAGAATAGACCTGAAGGGACGGAGTGAGAGAGGCAACATCTTCGCTGACCGACCACCTTCTTGGTGGGCTAGAAGTGTGGCAGTTTGGGCTAGCTGGTATGACATGACGATAGTTATAGCGCGAGAACAGAACGACGAACAGAACAGAACGAATGACGAACAAAGAGAACAGAACGACGTGTCCTTCGTGTCGTGTCCTTCTCGTCTCTTTGTCATCGTTCTGTTCTCGCGCTGTAACCATCGTCGTGGTGGGTTAGATTTAGTTTCTGGAAAGAGATGTCGACTTTCAATCGAAAAGCGCTTCGTTTTTAGCTACCTGTAACCCCGCCATAGTGCCACATTCACGACATCTCACAAACCTGGAAATGGCTTGCGACTCCGGGGTTTTCCCTTTGCCACCCTCCGCAAACGAAACCGTAGAAGTCGTCGCAAGGGTCCCCGCGGGCGTCGGCCACCGAGCGCTCGAGCGCCGCGGTGGGCTCCAGGCAGCCCGGGTCGGTGCAGCTCAGCGCGTACGCTCGCACCAATGCCGGCGCGCCGTAGCCCACGACGACCATGAGCAGACTCATGGCCGTCACGACCAGGCCGTAGCGGTAGCACAGGAGCTTCGCTAGGCCTACTGCTCCGAGTTCGCTGCTGTCCCACGGTTCCTGGATATCGGCCTTCTCGTCGGACGACCTAGTAGACAGGCTAGAGCCGAAGGTATCACCGTCGGCTTTGGATGGCGCGTCGCCGTGCGGCCGGGAATCTTGCGAAACCGCGGTACTGCCCACCGCCATGTCGACTGCCAAGTCGAGGCCGTTCAGGAACGTGACGCAGGGCGATGATGATGATGCCTCAACCCCGCCAATCCCTCAAAGTGGGTATTTGCCAAATTTTCAAAAAAAAAAAAAACAAACAAAGATACCACGGCTTATACCCTTCAGAATGGTTCGCCAAGAATTGGTTACATGAATTTTCAAGCCTTCCAAGTAATAGTCCTAACATAACGAGGAAAAAACTTACTCAAGAACAAAAAGAGTGCAACCATTTTTTCGCCATTTCGACCAGAGTATAGTATATATCTTGAATATAAATCACAGTAATATCGAACAAGTTTAAAGAACAGATTCCTTCCTCGGGCTCTCGTGAAAACTACGGTGATGATGATGATTATGATCACGTCCCGTTCCCGATGGCACTCCTTGAAGAGTGGAGATGAGCCAAGAACCAGGTGGCCAGATGTTTAGGACGAAGGTTAAGGTTGTTGCTGCTGTTGGCTTGTGACCGTTGCTTGTACGCAGTTCAAGGAAGAGTAGTGGGTGTATTATTTTTACACCCACTACTCTTCCATTTTTAGCGAACTTCGGCCAGTTTTTCAGCGTGTCTATCTATCTATCTATCTATCTATCTATCTATCTATCTATCTATCTATCTATCTATCTATCTATCTATCTATCTATCTATCTATCTATCTATCTATTTATAGCCGCTTACATTTGGGTGCTTTCGTGGTCACCCCCTTAACTTGGCGTAAATCAAAATTAGCATGGGGGCGGGGGGGTAAGATGGTATGAAAAATAATGACACGCTGGTCAACAGATTGGTAATGTCACAAGTACGTCGCGTACGTCGTCAAACACTTTCCGCCCATACCCTCGGGCGGGTATGTGCCGCTGCTATGCGGGTATGTGCCACAGGTGATAGACACTTAGTATCTACCCAGAAACGATAGATAGATAGATATGTGGGGTTTAACGTCCCAAAACCACCATATGATTATGAGAGACGCCGTAGTGGAGGGCTCTGGAAATTTCAACCACCTGGGGTTCTTTAACGTGCACCCAAATCATCTACCCAGAAATGACGACAACACACACGGGCAATTTTTTAACGCGTGAGCGTTAAGCAATACCTGACAAGGTACCTCCATTGAGGCGGCGTTCGTCGGACTCACGGGCCTGTCGTCAAGATCGACGAGATGAAGGTGAGCCCTTTCCTCGCATGAGGGCCTCAACCAGGACTTTTGCCTTGCACTCTCGCATCCACGCAGTCACCCAAGTCAAACATTTACGTCACGCTTCGCCTCCGAGCCATGGACGCGCTCTTGCATGAGCATAATGAACTCCCGTTACCCCTCTTCCGCGGCGCCATTGTATTTCTCAAGTGTATTGTTGTGTTGTTTTTTTTTCTTCAGCGGCAGTTGCAGAGCGAGGCTGAGGCTAGCTGTGGCCCATTGCATGACGCCTTTGCATGAATGGGCGACGACCAGCTGCCTTTGCAGACCAGTATATAGGTTGAATTAAGGAGAGAAGGATGTGGGAATCTGAGGCGCGCCCGCGACCATTTCGCGGGCATTCCGCCACACGGCCACACCCTTTTGCTTTTCTGCTCTGCTAACACCACGTGGCGATAGATGGCGCCACGTGCGGGCGGCACGAGTTACGTGCGCGCCGAGGGAGCTGAGCTCTCTTCTCCGTGGTCGGCGCCAGGTAAGCACGTGTTTCCCTTCGTCCGCGTCCCCTTTGGGAATCGCCGGACTGTAGCCTGCCTGGGGTGGCCTTGGGCACCTCGGCAGGCGTGTTTACTTGAGTGCTAGCTTCGGTAGCGTACGCTAAGCCCACAGCGGTGCCTAGTGCTTGAAGTGGTCGTACCACAACGAGCCGCACTTGCCGTAGGCCTACGCGTACGAGGTTTGCCCTAACACTCGCGACCAGGCCCATTGGCCATCGTGAGAGTGCACAGCATAGCCGCGAGGGACCTTTTCCCGACCGGCGTGTCAAAGCTCGCCATTGCCAGCTGCGACGTGCTCGCGGTTTTCCCCTTCTTGTGAACGTCCGCGTGCGGGTGCCTTTGCTACCCGCGTCCCGGGAGCGGACGTTGTACTGTTGTGCAGGGTGCCGCCAGAGGCGATAAAGTGTTGCGTTTTTTTTTTTTGCATTAGAACACTGTCTGTTTGCCACGCCGCGCTAAACGCCTTATTAGATGAGCGCGTGCGGAGCGGTGCGCTACACGCGAGTAAACGGAGAAACGGCCCTGTGGCTCGCTAAGCGTGAACCCGCGGTGATCGTCAGCTGCAGTTAGTAGCGGGGTCACCATAACATGCACTTCTTTTATACAGCCACCACGTCGCGTTACCGTCAATTGTGGTTAGTTGCCATGCGCTGAAGTTGGTTTATGTAGCCGTGTCCAGGGCCAGCATCATTCACGAGCGTCAGCGCTTTATATCAGATTCTGGTGCTTCTAATACGCATGTTCCAGTTGACGTCGTTGCGCAAGTGCAAACTACTGGTTATATAAGCATCTGCAACTATTCAACATATGTCTGTGTGTGCAACATTTGTACTTGTTGTGACTCGGGGTGCTGAGTCGTATCCCACCGCTCATCACCAGTTGTTGCGGGTCGGAAGGAAGGTCGCTGGATGATACGAAAACAAAACCCGGTCTCTTGTGGTAGCGTGGTGTAGCTTCGGGTTGAGGAAACGAGCGCTTACAAGATGGGGATACGAAAAAACAAACAGATTTATGGCACTATTTACAAATATTTACAGCATGAGGTTAAGAGTTCACAAACCACGATTAGAGTGCCTAGAATATTCTCCTAGTGGCGCCTTCCCCATCGGCGGCTGGGAAATTGATTTGGATTCGGCGTTAGGGGGCGCTACTTGCAACTGGCGCGTCAGTTTGCGTGCCGGCCAGGCCTTTCAACGTTGTGTCGGGTGGCGACTTGTCTGTGTGGTGAAGCGTGTTCTCGCTACGTTTCGAATATGTGCCGTGAATTCTCGTGCAGCGATTGTGTGTGACTATGCCTGAAAAAAAAAAGGAAGAACGTGCTTTGTGCAAAGGCGGGTACAAGTCTTTCAAAGAGAAGGTGTCTCTGTTCAGGGCTCCGGCAGACCCTGTTCGTCTTCAAGAATGGGCGCGAAACATCAAAAGAGGTGACAAAGTTCTAGACGAAACTTGTGTAGTGTGTTCTCGTCATTTTGATGATCGCTACATCCAAAGAACTTTCAAGCATGTCATCAACGGTGAGGACATCGAATTCGACCGTGAACGACCATCGCTAACGCCGGACGCCGTTCCTACCATTTTCCCGGATGGCCCCGCTTACCTGACTAAACCAGTGCCTCGAAAAAGAAAAGAGAGGAATATTGCTGACTGCACAGCTCCGCCTGCTAAGCGTAAAGCGCCGAATGAACCCACGACTTCCCAGGCCTGTGACGATGCTGCCGCTGGCGAGGAAACAGCACAGGCGCCGCACCCGTTTCACAGCATAACGCCGCCGTCGGCATTTTGCAGCAAAATTTGCTTGCCCAGTAACCCAGAAGCATTGTGCTTCGCATGGCACTACAATACAGTGCTGGGTGACGTCTACGTGTTGAAACACGTAGTGTTTTCGTCAAGCAAGGAAGTAGGTGCTGCAGATGGGTACCTTTGCAGTACTTACTGCCGCGGCATAAATGTGGAAGAGCACTATGTCAGCACCGAAACTGACGCACTCGCTTCGCTGAAAAGGGCCGACGATCTGCTTCTTTGTTGCGGCTGCGAAATTGAGCCTGCCGCTGGCACTAAGTGCGCCTACGGGAGGGAATGGTGGTCGCGGATGAGGAGAGAAATATGTGATTTTTTGTGTTGAACAGTCGTACCGCTGGGAGCCCCCGGTTGGCCACCCCTTAATTACCGCAATTTAAAAAGTAGCATTGGTAACGCGCGAGCGGCCAATCTATGAAGAGGCGGCACGTCAGGAGGACACAAAATCTCAACAAGGCAGAGAGCTCGCATACATTTCGTTCAAATTCACACGCTTTATTTACAGTCTGCATGGAAAACACAGGATAACAAGGCAATCACGTGCTAAGCCATGAAACCACCACTGCAATTTCAACGCAAAGCGTCTGCTCCGGCTTGCTGCCTTCCCAGCTTGCCGAAAAAGCAACGCGCCAGAGAGCGGTACTGCCACCTGGCGGCTGTATCGCATACCATTTCCCCTCGGCCGGCCCGTTCACGACACTAGGAGAAATATTCTAGGCACTCTACCACGATCGTGGTGGTTAAACCGTTACATGGTTCAGAGCCTTCACAAACTACGAACGTGGTGGTTGAACCTTTACATGGTTCAGAGCCTTCACAAACTATGAACGTGGTGGTTGAACCTTTACATGGTTCAGAGCGACGTCCCGCACTCTGCAGCGTCCTTATAAGCCCTGTCGGGCTCCTCCTTCTTGATGGGAACACCAATCACACACACACAACAGGTGAGGGGTACGAGCATGCACGGCACACGTGAACATCCAATTTTGAGTCGAGATCACTGCACTGAAAGGTGGCGCCAGAAGAGCTCTTGCTCGTCGTGTGTGTCGCTAGTCGAGGGGTCCCAAGCTTCGGACAGCAGACATCAAACGGTCCGCCAATCTGTCCGCTCAATTAGCAGGGCACTTTGTGGCGGCGGTCGCCGTTTCTTCAAAGGAAGACGCTGTCTTTGTTGTCCTCTCTGGAACGGCGTCGTGGCGACACGACGTCTCATTCCTCCGGCTAGCAGGGACAATACCTGGCGGGCATAGGCAGCCGACCAGTCGGCTACCTCTTTGAGGATTAAGAGCGCCGCTCCCCCGTCAGCTCTCGACGCTGGTTCCAAGAAAACTGGGGTTCCAGGCGTGGGAACGCTGCCCGGCCCGCTTCTCAGCGACAGCATGGCGCCTACCGATGGCGGTCATAATATATTTAGCGTCATTTCATGACGTGTCACTCAATGAAAAAAAATTGCCACACGGTCACCTTCCCTCCGCACGCTTCGCACAACGTCGAGTTCCCAGGTATACATAGGACGTGCCGAATTTTTTCATGAAAGTATATAGGGTAATATTACTAGAGTCTGTACTT